GTGTGTGTGTGTGTGTGTGTGTGTGTGTGTGTGTGTGTGTGTATGTGTGTGTGTGTGTGTGTGTGCGTTTGTGTGCGAAGCGTGCTGGCAAAAGGAGTTACTTCTCGCATTCCACAAAGGGAGCTATTGGCCAAAAATCAACACTCTAAGATCAAATTAGATTTTCTATAGATGCACTATTCCTTATGTATAACATGCCTCTTGATATTTCATACTTATAAATTGTAAAATCTCCACCAATAATAAGTGGGAAGTATCTATTTCGGGGAAGTAACTCATTTAGTCAGCACACCTCACACACATATATATTGTTTTAAGAAGCGGGTTGTTCCAGCATGCGAAACATGTATTTACTAAAGTCCTGTCTTGTTGTGCGTATGCATGAGTGCACCTAACCTTTGTAATATCTACTGGTATCTATTGTTAACGATCAAGACACATTTCTCCCATTGTCATTGTTTACAGGAGAGACGTGATGCTTTATGGTACAAATGTAAGGAAAACAGGTAGATTGTGAAATGAACAGTGTACACGAGAAATGTGATGCTATGAATAAGAAAGTAAGGAAAATAAGAAGATTGTAACTTTAACAGTTTTACAGGAACAAATGTGGTGCTATAAATAAGAATGTAAGGAAAACAGTTTGTTTATTTGCGACCTGAAAGGTTTACAAGATAAATTTTGCGTTGCAGTGTGGTAACAATTCTTACTAAAACTAAACAGGATAAACGTTTGTTATTTTCTTGCCGGGCTGAAGCAGGACCCCACATAGGTTTTCCAGAACCCTGAATTGTTTCCTCATAATCTCGGGGAACTCTCGTATGACAACACAACCTCCTTTCCTTGCACCAACTGAGTAGATGGGGAGATCTGATGAGGGCGTACACGGTGTTCTAATTGGCTTTTAAAGGAGTTCATTGGTGGGTGGTTGGTGGGTGCTCTGACGCATGGTTTGCTTCTTCTTTCCTATGAAACACCTATCGACTTTTTCTACCCTCCTTCGTTTTTTTTTGGTGTGTGTGTTACTCTATTGTAACACTTCTAATCTTCGGCACTTATATGATCTTATTGTGTTGCAAGTGCCGTAAAACTCTTACTAAAACCAAAAGGAGTTAATTGTTTCTGGCTGTGTGCCACCTGAAGATTGTTGTAACATCCTCAAAGCAGAGAACCGCAAATGGGGGCGCGCGGGGGG